ATTTCAAGCACCGATTCAACCACAAAGACAAGGGAGGTTTTCAAATGGTTTGCAAGGGCACCTATTGGTAGATGGGTAAAAAACTAACAGACATTGAATATCCCTATGAGCATGGTGCAGTTATTAATTACACTTTGGATGGTGTATCAATACACCCAGTCACTACAAAGATACAGGCGTCCTTCCTAACTCAGTTGCCGGAGAGGAAGGAAACCGCTCAGGGATTTCACCATGAGGCCAATGGTGATTTTAAAACAGTTACAGAGTTTAATGGATGTGATAAGAGATAACTGATCAAGAACATTGTAGTTACTCCACAATACTAACATAAATGACAGAGTGAAAAGAAGGAAGCCTGTACAGAATGCATGCATCCTGTTTGCAATAAGGCACTAAAGTAATGCTGCAAAAAAATTGGCAAAGAAATGAACTTTTTGACCTTAATACAAAGCGTTATGTTTTGGGCAAATCCAACCCAATACAACACTGATTACCAGTCTTCATATTTTCAAGCATGGTGGTGGCTGCATCATGTTATGTGTATGCTTGTCATCGACAAGAACTAGGGAGTTTTTTTTGGGGGGGATAAAAAGAAATGGAATAGAGCTAAGCACAGGCAACATCCTAGAGGAAAACTTGGTTCAGTCTGCTTTCCAACAGACACTGGGATACAAATTCACCTTTCACCATGACAATGACCTAAAACACAAGGGCAAATATACACTGGAGTTGCTTACCAAGATGACATTGAATGTTCCTGAGTGGCCTAGTTACAGTTTTGACCTAAATCATCATGAAAATATATGGCAAGACTTGAAAATGGCTGTCTAGCAATGATCAACAATGAACTTGACAGAGCTTGAATAGTTTTTTTAAGAATGATGGGCAAATATTGTGCAATCCAGATGTACAAAGCTCTTAGAGACTTACCCAGAAAGACTCACAGCTGTTATCGCTGCCAAAGGTGATTCTAACATCAAGATATATTAGTGTTTTATTCTCCATAAAAAAAAATTTAATGTTACAATTTTTCTTCCACTTTGACATTAGAGTATTTTGTGTAGATCCTTGATTAAAAAAATGACAATTAAATCTATTCTAATCCCATTTTGTAACACAACAAAATGTGGAAAAAGTCAAGGGGTGTGAATACTTTTCTGAATAACAAATATACCCATATACTCCCCTTCCAGCACTGCCGTTTGAGTCAGAAATTAAACAATTAAAATGTAAGTATATAGTGATGTAAAATGGAAACTGGAGAAAAATAGGCTAGGCATTATCATTGTATGGTAAATTACTACATTAGACACCATCCAGATTGGTATCCACTTTTCTCTTCAATTTTTTACTTTAAGGTCATCTTCAATCTCTTTGTACTTTCTTTGCCTCAGGGTAAAAGTTGCTTCAGAGAACATCATGGGAGGTTTATTAAGTTTTTTATTTTCTTATTTTCTTCTAGAAGGTTTAATTTCTTTTCAAAGTGGGATCATGTTTCAAAGTGGGATTAAAATGGATTTAATTGTCAAAATTGAGTGTCACTAGTCTGTGGTAGTCAGAGGGCCAATATTACACCTTGTGCTGCTGGGGGACAGATGTACTGAGAGGAGCAATACTCTTCCTCCTACACACGAGAGATGGGGGTGAAGGAGCACTGCAGACTGCATTAGCGTGTGTATGTGTGTGTGTGTTGTGTGTGTGCTACTGTACTGCTACCAGCAGGGCTCTCTCTCTCCCATTTATATCAGAGGTGAATACAACAGACAGAACAGAACAAAAGGCTATCTCCTTCCCGCTGTGTGAGAGAATGGTAGAATGGTCGACCACAGAGCTTCTCCCCATGGGAAATGCATGGAAGGACCATTATAGCTACTTTTAGCCTCCTGTCTCCTAACCTCTGACTTTCAGAACGGCACCTTTATGGTTGAAGTTGATTCCTAGTTGACTACCTCAAAAAGAAGCCGTCTTACTGATGGTTTGAGGCCATTTGTTCAACTAGGAGCTAAAAGTAATAAGTCAAGTAAGTCACTGATAGTTTGAACACATCTGAAAGTAAACTGTTCACAGCTTTTAGGACATTTGTGAATTATAATTATTTTCCATTGGAGAGATATAGTTGTTTTCCACTATGCCCTGGATTCCCCTTCTCTTCCACCAGTTAGCTCTGATCTTTGATATTCAAGATGAACAGTTACTATAAGTTGATATGATATCATCACTTGACTGAGATGTGTAGCTCTTTCCTCCGTGCTAACAGTGTGGCTGCGGAATACATTTAGGTGAAATATGGACATCTCAAATTTCAATCTCTAAACTGGGAACACCACATCCTTCCACTGAGTTAGTTTTTTGTAAATACATCTATCTACACATTAATAAATACAGCAATTCTATACTTCTGTCAGATATAAATCCTACTTGATTTTCAATTTCAACTTCATGGACTAGATTGTAACCCTCCCCCATTGTGTCCCTTAGAAATACATTATCACCTCTTCTCCAGACCGAAGCAAAAATCTAATATATTCCAAATAATCTTTCCTGTCCTTACCAGAGCCATTTACCCCCTACTGCTTCCCTCTGACTCCACACTGGGGGGCACAAAGCACAGGCAGATTTAATGGAAGCTATTTTCAAGGACAACGCAGCTCAACGCTGCAGACAGCAGCTACCTAATTCCAGGGAGAGGAAACTGTTAAGTGGGACTGGATGAGAGACTGTAGATTGAATTGTTAGATTTTTTAAAAGTCATTATATTCATGACATAAAAGTGAACCGGGGATGGGAGGAAATAAATTAGCCATTTTAACCTGACAGAAGACGAAGGTCCCTTTTAGTAAGTATTTTACCTGGCTGTTAGTGTAAAAAAACTAAAACATGATCTATAGTGTACCCAGCAAACCAAAATTGGCTCTGTAAAAGTTCCCAGAACATTCATTAGGTTGCGGCAAATGTTCTCAGAACACAAAAACTGTCCAGTTGTGCTGATGATTATACAATGTTTGTATAAAACATTTGCCTGATGTTGCAAGAACATTCCCAGAACACATTTCGTCTGTTCTTTAAAAGTTCCTAAAACATTTATTTAGGTTGTGGGAACATTGTGGGGATATGACAAGAGATAGGTTCCCAAAACACACAAAGAAAATAAGAAATAAAAAAAAATGTCCAGTTGTGCTGACATTCAGATAATATTTGTATCAGGGTGCACAAAAAATGAATTTGATGTTGCAAGAATGATGACAGAACAGCCTTTTTGAGTTCTTTAAAACGTTGATTTGCTGGAATATTTTTATTAATGTTAGGAGAACATTTAGTAAAACAATAAAAAAAACATTGTGTTATCAAAAACATTATTTGAACGTTTTTGAGATGTTGTCATCCTAATGGTAGAAAAAACCTAACTAGAACTTCATGGTAATCTTAGCTAATATTCTGGGAATGTTCCCGGTTTGCTGGGTATACTCCTACAGTACATCTGTGCTTGGAACTAGAGAAGAAATAAAACGGATGTTGGCACTTCTATCTCTGTTGAAAATAGACTTTGTAAAAAGACGATTCTGTGTTGAGTGAGAATGCCTCAGATTCTGTGTTTAGTGAGAATATCTCAGTCTCTCCATGACAGGGTGTTTAGGAGATCCAATGCTTGTTTACCAGCCAGAGGCAGAAGGCACAGATATCACACACAGAGGAACATGGTAAATGTGTCAGAAAAGCACTGACAAACTACAGCAGGGAGCAGCAGCAGCGTCTCAGCTGTCAGACTTTACCACTCCAAATAACTGACAGTGGAGCCTTCCAGACAGTGGTGCCAGTCAGGACACTTAAGACCAAAGATTTCACTTTTAGGCTTTCAGAACACAAAACACTTTTGGGGGTCTGTCTGAATACTGGGAATAAAATAAAGAAATAAGAAAAGAGATGAGAAAGAACTGACAAGATTCCCACTGACAGAGAGATAATTAAAGATGGTTGGCATGCCACATCACACACAGCTCTCAGATCCACTGCAGCTGTACTTTAATACAGTAATCCCAAAGGTGACACAAATTCAGTCGTCACCTATCTAGTGTTTGTAGTATTGCTGTAGCAAATACAGGCCACTAGTGGATAGGGTTCGGTTTTTCAAGCCTATAGCTGAAAAATACAAGCCTATACTTGAGTATACGCTTAGAAAAAAGGGTTCTTCAAAGGGTTCTTCTATGGGGACCCTTTTAGGTTCTAGATAGCACCTTTTTTCTAAGAGTGTACTCAAATCTGCCTCAGGGCGCAGTCAAGCAGAAACGCAAGCACTCAGTCAGATTAATTTAACAGTCATGTGGTTTTACACCATAAAGGAGCACTTAATACATCATGGAGACAGAGATATACAAATGTTCACACCAGGAAGCCTTCCTTTCCTTTCATCAATAAATCAGACATGTTGGAGACAACAGGAATAATGCATAATTCAACCTGGAGACAGGTGATGCAACACTTTTGTCATCCTTTGTAATATGTTGGTGGAGCTGCATGTGTGTCCTCAGAGAGAGAGAGAGAGAGAGAGAGGGAGAAAGAGAGAGCGAGTGGGAGACACCCACAAAGAATTTGAAAACATAAAGAGAGAGAGCGAGAGAGAGAGCAAGAGAGAGAGCGAGAGAGAGAGAGGGGGGGTGTGTGTGCTAATGAGTGACACAACACAGCATAACAGCCCTGCATCTAAATGAGAGGTGAGCAGAGAGGATGACAAGAAGAGCTCTAATGAGTAATGGCAATGGCATCCTATAAGATGAGGCGAGGTGAGCCAGACACAGGCCCAGGTGATGACAGCCAAGTAATGACAGCCAGGTGACTGGTGTATTAGACCTCTGTGTGTTTGGGCCCTGCACCAACGGAAACACTAACGAACTCTGTGCTAATCACCCAGGACAGCCATGGCTAATGAACCCAGACACTGACGCACTGCTACAGGTGGGAATCTGTGAGTTTGTGTTCATATGTACATTTTGTGTACGCTTTCATACGCTTGTCAGGAAGGGTTCTATGCCCTGGGTCTCTTGACTGACTCTGAATAGACAGATAGAATGAATGCACCCTCCATCCATTCTCACCTCAGGTCGCAGTGAATTATTTCATTTCCCATCATAGATAACGTTACGGAAGGGATTTGATGGAAAGGGAGGTTACATCACTTACAGGCTGAACATATTGGCTACATTTAAACAGTTGAGGACCTGTATTGTTAGGAAATTCAAAAAGGACAACACCTCCTCCACCCAACCGCTGCCCCTTTCTAAAAGACAAAACATTGTTTTTGTATTGTTTATTTTGGGGAGAGAGATATGAGGTATGCTCACCTTGGATTGGAGTGTAAGAGTGGGTTCATTTCCTTCTGGTAGTGATGGCCCTGATTGGCTGGCTGAGAACAACAGAACACAACGGATGAGGAAAAGAGAACGTCATAACCTACTAGCGATGCTATAATCATTCAGATACTAATCTCGGCACCAAGAAGAAAGTCTCACATGAACGCTGTCCGCTAACATTTTAATTTAAAGGCTGTCAGTCACGAGAGACTAAAAACATAAAAACATACCCACCACACACATTTAGTATGTTGTTATCTTTTCTAACTATCTCATACAGTATTATGTGAAATCACAATCTGCGTAATAACAAAAACCTTCAGTGCACCTCCCTCATCTGCCTGATGGGGGCGCTGTGGCTACATATGTTACTACAGAGTGCATAGGTTCTCTGTATTTAACTCATTACTCTATAATGGCACATTTCCACACAAGATTTACCCCAGTGTTTTACCCAAAAGGCTCAGACTTTTCTGTTTCCAACTATGCGGGCCGGCAGGCCATGGCTCCGGCGGACCTGCTCTCACTTGGGGCCAAAGCCAGGCCACTGGTACTTTTCAGCTGGCAATTACAGTGGGGGAAAAAAATATTTAGTCAGCCACCAATTGTGCAAGTTCTCCCACTTAAAAAGATGAGAGAGGCCTGTAATTTTCATCATAGGTACACGTCAACTATGACAGACAAAATGAGATTTTTTTTCCCAGAAAAACACATTGTAGGATTTTTAATGAATTTATTTGCAAACTATGGTGGAAAATTGCTGGTATTTTGGCCCATTCCTCCATGCAGATCTCCTCTAGAGCAGTGATGTTTTGGGGCTGTCGCTGGGCAACACGGACTTTCAACTCCCTCCAAAGATTTTCTATGGGGTTGAGATCTGGAGACTGGCTAGGCCACTCCAGGACCTTGAAATGATTCTTACGAAGCCACTCCTTCGTTGCCCGGGCGGTGTGTTTGGGATCATTGTCATGCTGAATTACCCAGCCACGTTTCATCTTCAATGCCCTTGCTGATGGAAGGAGGTTTTCACTCAAAATCTCACGATACATGGCCCCATTCATTCTTTCCTTTGCACGGATCAGTCGTCCTGGTCCCTTTGCAGAAAAACAGCCCCAAAGCATGATATTTCCACCCCCATGCTTCACAGTAGGTATGGTATTCTTTGGATCTGACCATATGACATTCTCCCAATCCTCTTCTGGATCATCCAAATGCACTCTAGCAAACTTCAGACGGGCCTGGACATGTACTGGCGTAAGCAGGGGGACACGTCTGGCACTGCAGGATTTTAGTCCCTGGCGGCGTAGTGTGTTACTGATGGTAGGCTTTGTTACTTTGGTCCCAGCTCTCTGCAGGTCATTCACTAGGTCCCCCCGTGTGGTTCTGGGATTTTTGCTCACCGTTCTTGTGATCATTTTGACCCCACAGGGTGAGATCTTGCGTGGAGCCCCAGATCGAGTGAGATTATCAGTGGTCTTCTATGTCTTCCATTTCCTAATAATTGCTCCCACAGTTGATTTCTTCAAACCAAGCTGCTTACCTATTGCAGATTCAGTCTTCCCAGACTGGTGCAGGTCTACAATTTAGTTTCTGGTGTCCTTTGACAGCTCTTTGGTCTTGGCCATAGTGGAGTTTGGAGTGTGACTGTTTGAGGTTGTGGACAGGTGTCTTTTATACTGATAACAAGTTCAAACAGGTGCCATTAATACAGGTAACAAGTGGAGGACAGAGGAGCCTCTTAAAGAAGAAGTTACAGGTCTGTGAGAGCCAGAAATCTTGCTTGTTTGTAGGTGACCAAATACTTATTTTCCACCAAAATTTGCAAATAAATTCATAAAAAATCCTACCATGTGATTTTCTGGATTTTTTCCCCTCAATTTGTCTGTCATAGTTGACGTGTACCTATGATGAAAATTACAGGCCTCTCTCATCTTTTTAAGTGGGAGAACTTGCACAATTGGTGGCTGACTAAATACTCCCCCCCCCCACTGTACATAACATTGGCTAATTGTGAACTTCAACACCTTCTCACAAAGCAACTATTTTGATTATGCAGAGGTTGTTGATTCTGCTCGTCACAAGTCCTCACGGTCAGCCTAGCTATGGAAACACAATTTCTCTAGTATAACATAAGGGTGTATACACTAGTGTAACACTGATGTTACAGTCGAAAAGCAGCAATTTGACTACAGCACATCAGGTGTTCTAGCAGAATTGGGGTGAGCTGTTGTAACTTCTCAAGGGTTATGTTATTGTTCTGTGTTGGACTGTGATGTTATGCCTTTCATAGACTCCTGGTATGTCTGCACCCTAACACTAGGCCATTGTGTTCCGGAACGGTTGATGTATTGAAATAACTGTTGTGTAAACAATTTGATTAAGGGACATGTAACCATTTATTCTTTGAGTTCTTCCCTGTGGAATCAGAGGTGGATCTCACCTGCAGCTTCTTGATTAAAATATTCACTATTATACAATAAAATTAGTCTCTGCCTAATCTTTGGATCGAGTTTTCCACAACAAAGGTGAGCAGCCTGGGAAAGAGAGACAGCTTGTTTGAATAAGCTCAATTTGCACCTCGTATTATCACTCAGGAGAGCTGCCTGCAAATAAGGGCTTAAGGACAAAGGAAGGCATAATAGGTATCTGGGCCCACTTCCTTGCTTTCTGCAAATTACAGTGTGTGAGTATGAAATGAGCAACACCATCCCCCTACGTCAATGGCAAATGGCCTGAGTAAGACATCTTCATTTATCCACCATCTTTGGAGTACATGACTCACCATAGGTATGTGTGTCCAGGTGGATGTGTCATCACTGCTGGTGCTGATGCTGACGTTACATTGGTGGATCTGAGAGGCACTGAGACCTGTGGCTCCTCCCCCCTCCTCTTCTTCCTCCTGCTCCCGCCGTAGACTGGCCAGCATACGTAGCTCCTCCTCCTCATCTTCCTGCATACGCAGGCTGTCCAACAGACGCAAATCACAGCTACTGGACCCAACAGGCTCATGCCTTCTCTCCCTCCTCTCCTCACCCTCCTTTAAATCAACAACAACAAACAAAACCAATATTGATTACACACTTCATTCCAGACATTACAGTAAAGGAATTTGACAGCTTTTTTAATGGGCTTTGTGGTTTGACCATGGTGTGTATCAAGCACATGCCCCAAATTCCTAGAATCCCAACCATCCTTTTTCATCACATCCACAAATAACAAGTTTTGTTTGATCCGTCCAATAAGAAGAAACAGGTCAATGACCTGAGCCCAACCAACCCCTGTGTAAGTGTAACCAAGAGAAGTAATCAGTGTGTTTAAAACAGCAGGTCTCAGTGGACCCATGCAGGGCCCAGCCCAGGCTTGGATATCACCCACTGGCCTGTGACTTGGCTGGCTGGACTGGTGTGTGTGTGTGTACAGTAACTTGTCCAGCTATCGATTCAGTTGGAGGCTTGGAGCACTGTGGTAACTGGCTTTGTCCGAAAGGAAGGACTGGGGCAACCCTGGAGGTTGAGAGAGGATCAATGGCTGCTGGCGTGAAAGAGAGCCTCACAGGCCAGTGGGAACCGCAACAATCATCTCTGTCTTCTCTCTCTCTGACAACGTTTCAATCAGGCCCCTGACTGTACTGTACCATAGGCTAGCTCAGTAGCTACCACAGACGAGGCTGGTGATGGGAGGACAGCTCAACAGCCTCCACTGGGCTACCTGCTTGGGACATGGAGCAGGGTGTGTCAGTGGTTGTAAGACTGCAGCACACTGGGCTGTGTTCTACTACAATGAGGTGAGGGTTGAGGGGGGTGTCTGAGCCTCATCAGCGACCCAGGCAGCAGGCCTCCTCTGTGGGCTAGGGATCCCTCCACTCCCCTGTCTTTTGTGGACCCCAGGATTAGTAGCTGCTGCATCCGCTAGAGCTAATGAGGATCCTAATAAAATACTACAAAAAATACTAAATACTGTCCTCTGATCATGGATCCCCTGGTTCCCCTTAGGAGGAGCGGCTGGAAGGAGGGAAAGGAGGGAGCCTCAAGGTGTGACAGATAAGCCCCTCCCCCCCACTCTCCTCTCCCTCTCTCTCACCCTCTCTTTTTCTCATCGCAGAATCCTTCTCCTCAGCACAGCATGACTGACAAACCTGCTCTTAGATCACTGCTCTGCTCTGCTCTGCTCTGCTCTGTACATCACACACTTCAATGTGAGCAGAGGGATGAGAGGAGAGACAGACAGACAGACAGACAGGCAGACAGGCGGGTGCAACATGGCATGTCATCATGCCATCAGAAGCTGAACAGCACGATGCCAAGCCCTTTAACAAGCTTCTCTCTACATTTCCTCACTCGCTCTTCTTCTATCTAAGCTTCTCTCTCTCTTCTCTTCCTCACTGTCTTCTATCTAAGCCCATTCTGACTGCGACCACTTGAGCATCGGAGAGGAGTCAACCCCGACCATAGAAGAAAGACTGGCACAAAGCAGGCAGCCACATGACTGTCACATCCAACCTTTATCAAAAGGGACAATTCCTCCTCCCTGAAACCGCTCTTCCTCTTTTCAGTGAGAAATCAGACTTCTCTTTGACTCTCACGGCTCTGTTCCAAATGGCACTCTATTCCCTATATAGTGTACCATTTTTGCCCAGAGCCCTGGTTAAAAGTATTGCACTTTATATGGAATAGGGTACCATTTGGTACACATCCCACATCTTTAATTAAACAATGGGCTCTGTTCTGTTGTGAGAGGTCAAGGTGAATGACTGTTCTCTCCTACTGAGACATCCCTCCTTCAACATGCACACTGCTCCCTCTTTTCTTCTCACTCCCTCGCTTTTTGTGTATCCCACCACCCACGCCACTGATTCCTTGTTTTCTATCTATTATTTAGCTTTGGCGATATGGCTGTGGGATGATGAGGATCAACAAGTGGCACAGACACACTCACTGTATCTATCTGTATCAAAACTGAGCTTTCTTTTAAGTTGGTGTGGGACAATTCAACAGGCAGACTTGTAACTACTATGTTTTCAGAGGGGGAAAGTCCAGGAAATTGCAAAGTGCTTTTCTATTGATAAAACTACTATACAGTATACTACTGTAAACACAGAGCACTGAAGAAAAACAATCACAGAGAACTCTAGGTTTAAATTAATAAAGTACTATAGGCACAAGTAGCTAGTAGGAATCTCAGCTTGAAGAAGCAAAATATGAGGCAGACTGAAGAGAAAATATGAGGACATGAGGACATGCTATCCTTTCACCCTTAATGTATGATACATCCATGTCCTGTATATGTGACTACTAGGCTATAACTTGAATTTACTGATGAGTTGTCTGTCATCTTGGGGAGGAATCACATGGTGGCACGTCTGATGTGCTTTGACAACTGTAATTCCCTGTCGGTTGTGGCATCAGACATGTGGCTGGCTGCTCAATTAGACTCTCAGACAGGGTCTCCCTCCCCCTCTCTCGCTCCACCCCATCCTTCTCTCCTAGGGGCTCCCTCCCTCTCATCCCTCTCTCCCTCCCAGGGCCTCCCTTCCTCCCAGGGCCTCCTTCCTCCCAGGGCCTCCTTCCTCCCAGGGCCTCCCTTCCTCCCAGGGCCTCCTTCCTCCCAGGGCCTCCCTTCCTCCCAGGGCCGACCTTCCTCCCAGGGCCTCCTTCCCAGAGTGGCAAGAGACAGTCAGGACTGACAGTCACTTGACAGCTGCTCACTTAATTATAACATCAGAAGTAGAGGAGGAAATGGAAGATGGCAGAGTTAACAGCAGAACTTTATCTCTCTTGGTAAATCATGTGCTTCTGTTCTGTCCCACAGGGCGGGTGAGTGCTTTTGAAGAAGACAGTGTGATAATAAGGATGTGATTGTGAATACTAAATGCCTGGCTGCAGACAGACAGTACATAACCTTGTCTAGTGTGGCGTCTCCTCGGGGGATGATCTCTCGTAGAGATCTCCTGCTCAGTGATGTCCTGCTGTTGTTCCTGTCCTGAGTCTGGCTCACTCCCCCTCCTCTTCCCCCAGTTCCAGACTGGCCCAAATTGCTGTGTCCCTGCCCCTGCCTGGTGCCCTGACTGGGTGACCGGCAGCGGGTTGGGACCATCCCAGGCACCTCTAGTGTTCTCCTATATGCTTGGGAGTCAGTGTGGGAAGCCAGCCTGGTTTTACCCCCTGCAGGGTCTGTGTGGGTTAGGGTTCGCTCTATGGTAAATGTTCGGTCTGCACCACTGGACCCACTGGATCCAGGCCGTGCTCTGGGCAGAGTGTCCCCATCTAGGCATGATGATCCAGGGATACCAGGGATGGAGCTGGGGGGAACACCAGGAGTACCAGGGCTGGGGGGGACACTGGACCTCTGATGGAGGAACCTGGAGTAGGTCTCTTCCTGGGAGATACAGAGAGGAACAGTTTACAAATAGGATTTCTTTTTTTATTTTATTATTAGAATATGAGTAATGGTAGCCAGGCAGGCATATCTAAAAGGACAGAGGAGGCACTGACGCAACACCTTGAAAGAAAAAGACGCCCGCCTCAAGACTGAAATTATAGCACAACCTGTCACAGATGACTGCAAAAGAATGTGGGTGCAGGCCAGCTAGCTAATAAACTGCTAAGGTTGTACTGTACGATACCATACAGGAAGCTAGCCGTGGGCTGGGATCCCACGTCCCAAATTACTTGCAATTAACTATGGCAGCAGGCTATCTGAAAAGACTCAACATTAGTCTTGCTTAGCTGGCAGTGGCTAAAATAGCTTTAAAGTAGTGTAAAGCGCTAGGCTTTCATCCCGGCTAATGGTCTCGGTAGGTTTGGTTTGAAAGCAGATGGCTCTGGTTCCTGGTTCACTAATGAGGAAAACCTGGTGATAGGGCATGTTATGTTTGACTCCTAGCCCAAACCCCATTGACTCTTCTTCACTCCTCCTCTTCCTCCCTTTTACCCCTCTCTCATCTTTTTCTTCTGTTGCTTTTCGTTTCATGCTCAGAATCCCATGTCATTGAGTGAGGCACTGATGTCAGTGGTGTGATAGAGGCCTCACACAGTTTAGAGTCAACACCTCTGGCATGGAGGCCATTTATTAAGCATGATCCAACTGGGATGAGGCATCGAATGTGGACAACTCTGAAAAATGTATGTCCATATGAATGAATTATCTTGTAATAATCAGGGGTAAATAAGAATAATAATCTGCTTTCCCTCACTGGTAACAATGTATTTTCTGTCTTTTGCATGTTATACTTTTTAGGCAATCTGTCTTTTGGTTCAGACATAGGTTAGGGAGAAGAGGAAGCTATTTTCAGTGTTTAATAACAGTTTATTGAAGGCCAACTGGGACTACCTGTGGATATGGTAGTAAGTTGTGGTGTTGGATATTTGAACACATGAATTACCTAAAACATGCTGTGTGTCTACTGTCTAGTCTGTTGTTTATTCAAATTAACCTTGGTCTCCCAGAGTAAGATGATTGGCTGAAAACAAGCAAACAGAACAAGATGGGAATTGAAAGAAAAATAGAAAGCTCCAGGGGTTTTACAATGTGTTCTTCGAGACTAGCAGAGCAGCTAAGAAACATACACAGACACACACAGGCACACACACATACACACACAGACACACACAGACACACACACACACACAGTTCCAGAGACATCAATCAAAGTGGCCTAATTAACTGTAGCAGAGCATATGTATGTTGAAGATGAAACTGATTTCCCTCAGGACAGGAGAGGAGAGAGAGGGACGGATCAATACAACAACTAAATTATTTTTCTCTATCTCACACACAACTGAATTGAGGATAAACAATTTTTATTCCCAGATGTAATGGAAGTTAACTAATCTGAGCCAGCTGAGTGATATTTTTCTCACACAACAAACTGAATCATATTTCTCATACAGAACCCATAAAAAACTAAACTGAATCATCATTGTTTCCTTCATATAGAAATGGACTGAATGTATAAATGAACTGACCCTCACTGCTTTTTTCTCCTTGTGGAATCCATTAGGCCAAGCCAAGAAAGATGAGCAGCTCAAGGACTGAATTTGACTATTAATGAAAGTCTTAAATCAGAATAATTATATTCCTTCTTAAATTTAGAACCAGTAAAGACAATTCGTTTTCCTTTGAATACATCTAACGGTAATAGCCTTTGTACTCATTATTTGGAAAATTCTCCTCAGCAGCTCTTTATCACTGGGTTACATTGCTGTGTAAACAGTTTTTTACATTTGAGTCATTTAGCAGACGGTCTTATCCAGAGCGACTTACAATTAGAGCATTCTTCTTAAGATAGCTATGTGAGACAATAACACATCACAATCACTTTGCACTAATGGTCTCAGATATAAGATTTAAGTGTGTAAAGGAAATAAAGAATAATCTGTCTGTTATAGTTAGTTATTATAGGCACTTAGTTTATGCTTCGGTTAAAATTAAAATCTGTCCTTTTATTTGCCCATAGAGTGCCTTATAAATTATTATATTCTAGCTTTTTTTCAGTTTCAAACAATTGCTTTTAGGAAGCAGCTCCAACTGGAGTTGTTGTGTGGCGTGGTAGGACTGCGTATTCAGGGGATCTGAAGGTCATGGGGTGTCTGAGAGGTTTCTATTGTAAAATCTCTGAGAGGTTTCTATTGTTGAGGTTTTTATTGAGAATTTCTATTGAAGATACAGTGGGGGAAAAAAGTATTTAGTCAGCCACCAATTGTGCAAGTTCTCCCACTTAAAAAGATGAGAGAGGCCTGTAATTTTCATCATAGGTACACGTAAACTATGACAGACAAATTGAGAATTTCTTTTCCAGAAAATCACATTGTAGGATTTTTTATGAATTTATTTGCAAATTATGGTGGAAAATAAGTATTTGGTCACCTACAAACAAGCAAGATTTCCGGCTCTCACAGACCTGTAACAACTTCTTTAAGAGGCTCCTCTGTCCTCCACTCGTTACCTGTATTAATGGCACCTGTTTGAACTTGTTATCAGTATAAAAGACACCTGTCCACAACCTCAAACAGTCACACTCCAAACTCCACTATGGCCAAGACCAAAGAGCTGTCAAAGGACACCAGAAACAACATTGTAGACCTGCACCAGGCTGGGAAGACTGAATCTGCAATAGGTAAGCAGCTTGGTTTGAAGAAATCAACTGTGGGAGCAATTATTAGGAAATGGAAGACATACAAGACCACTGATAATCTCCCTCGATCTTATTTATCATTTTCACCCCGTGGGGTCAAAATGATCACAAGAACGGTGAGCAACCAGAACCACATGGGGGGACCTAGTGAATGACCTGCAGAGAGCTGGGACCAAAGTAACAAAGCCTACCATCAGTAACACACTACGCCGCCAGGGACTCAAATCCTGCAGTGCCAGACGTGTCCCCCTGCTTAAGCCAGTACATGTCCAGGCCTGTCTGGAGTTTGCTAGAGTGCATTTGGATGATCCAGAAGAGGATTGGGAGAATGTCATATGGTCAGATGAAACCAAAATATAACTTTTTGGTAAAAACTCAACTCGTCGTGTTTGGAGGACAAAGAATGCTGAGTTGCATCCAAAGAACACCATACCTACTGTGAAGCATGGGGGTGGAAACATCATGCTTTGGGGCTGTTTTTCTGCAAAGGGACCAGGACGACTGATCCGTGTAAAGGAAAGAATGAATGGGGCCATGTATCGTGAGATTTTGAGTGAAAACCTCCTTCCATCAGCAAGGGCATTGAAGATGAAACGTGGCTGGGTCTTTCAGCATGACAATGATCCCAAACACACCGCCCGGGCAACGAAGGAGTGGCTTCGTAAGAAGCATTTTAAGGTCCTGGAGTGGCCTAGCCAGTCTCCAGATCTCAACCCCATAGAAAATCTTTGGAGGGAGTTGAAAGTCCGTGTTGCCCAGCGACAGCCCCAAAACATCACTGCTCTAGAGGAGATCTGCATGGAGGAATGGGCCAAAATACCAGCAACAGTGTGTGAAAACCTTGTGAAGACTTACAGAAAACGTTTGACCTGTGTCATTGCCAACAAAGGGTATATAACAAAGTATTGAGAAACTTTTGTTATTGACCAAATACTTATTTTCCACCATAAATTCATAAAAAATCCTACAATGTGATCTTCTGGATTTTATTTTCTCATTTTGTCTGTCATAGTTGACGTGTACCTATGATGAAAATTACAGGCCTCTCTCATCTTTTTAAGTGGGAGAACTTGCACAATTGGTGGCTGACTAAATACTTTTTTTCCCCACTGTAAATGTACCAGAGCAACTAAATGTTTTGAAGAAAATAAAATAATGTTGAGAGGACGGTGTCAGGGGGTACAGGGTCTTGTGTGTGTGTGTACTCTTCATCCTCCAGCAATTCTGGATCAGACCCAGTCGTTTTAGACACATAGACATACCTCCTCACTCTCGCTGGCTAGGAAGTCGTCCTCTGGCCTGGACCCCCTGTGCCCTCCCATGTCCTGCTGGCAGTAGGTGTCCGTGGCCTGAGCTGCCTCCTCAGTCCAGCAGGTCTCTCCATGTCCCTGGCCCTGGCCCTGGTCTCCATGTCCTTGTCTCTGGACTCGCCTGGCTGAGTGGGGCCGAGAAGAGAAGGTGAACACGTCTTCCACTGAGAGCTGAGGCTCAGAGACTTCATCCACATCACTCTCCCCTTCACTGTCATCACTGTCCGAGTCCTGCAGGGGTAATGGTGATGGGGGGAGGTCAGGGACAGGGGTCGACTGGCCAGACAGAAGCTCTGGAGAAGATTTGGAGGGCTCCAAACAGGCTCTGTCCTCGTCAACAGGTCTGGGAGACAACAACTTGTCTAAGAGAAGAAGAAGAAGAACAACAACAACAACAGCTTTACAGTCAATAAAAACATGACTGCCCTGATTGTCTTCTCCAATGGTTCTTGTTCACTTGATTGGCTCGTCCCTTGATCGTTAGCTACAACTGTATCTTTGATACTAAAACGAAAGAGTTCCACCTTATTAACTTCATACAATGAAAACACAATGCCTAGCCTCAGGTGAATGGATTGCATAATACATGAGGAGTATTCAATATCAGAGTGTGTAGGCTGCTAATACACAGCCCACGCCTCTTGCATAACACCTCCTGAGCCAATGAGCAATGGTGATGATGAATCCAGAATAATGACAGAGATCTTATTACAGTGATCAATGGATCCATCTTCATTTCTTCATCATCAGGAAAACCTCCTGCTGTTCTCTGCCTGCCTGGGTTCATTTTCATATATGCAAATAACTACTGCTTAATCACAGTACGGCAGAATGAAATGAATTCGATTATGCCATGGTTGCCAAAAGCGGGCCCGCGTTAATTTCCACTCCTGCATAGATATATATATTTTGGTCTGTTTTTTGTTAATAGTGGCATAATGCCTTAATGAGCATTTCAAATATGCATAAGTGGAAGCTGAAGCATTGAAAACGATTGCGAATGTATTTGTCTGCGGTATGCAGGGAGGGACTGCAGGGAGAAAAACGCTTTGCCTTGGCAGAGTGGGGCTCACCCGCCGGCACACAAACGACATCATTAGTAGTGTGGGCGCCATTCTGCTGCAGAATCATCGCTCACACACCCATACCTCTGCCCATGGGGTCCGTCTACAGGCCCTGGCATTAGAAAACACCAAGGCAGGAACACACTGCTCCAGAGGCCTGACTGCACGTCGTCCAAGCTGATTAATAGTAACGTTGGCTTTTGAAGACAGTGACATTGGCTGTATGTATATGTACGCCGTGAAATGTTCACCAATGGAGTCCAGTCCCACTCAAGAGGTTCAGACTTTGAACACATCATATTTATTCACTCCATTGGAGGCTGCTGAGGGGAAGACGGCTCATAATAATGTCTGGAACGGAGCTAATGGAATGGCATCAAACACATGGAAACCATGTGTTTGATGTTGATACCTTTCCACTTATTCCGCTCCAGCCATTACCACGTGCCCGTCTTCCCCAATTAAGGTGTCACCAACCTCCTGTGATTCACACACTCAAGAGCCCATCCATGCACTACGTTCAAGTGACTCTCATCAGATCAAACGTAACTATAATGAATCCTAATACCTTCAGCTAGTCAGGCTCTATGGCAGCTTCCCAAATGGCACCCTATTTCCTATTTAGTGCACTTATTTTGACCAGGGCCCATAGAGCTCTGGCTAAAACAAGTAGTGCACTATATAGGGAATACTCATTCAGTGGCCTTGTGGTTTGAGTGTCTGCCTAGAGATTGGAAGGCTGGGAGTTCGATCCCAGGCCGAGTCATACCAAAGACTGTAAATGGGACCTGATGCTTTTCTGCTTGGGAGTAAAGCCCTGTGATAGACTTGTGTCCTGTCCAGGGAGTGTACTTGTACATCAAGCTGCCTCATGCTACTGATAGGCTCCTGTTCCTATGAGCCGTTCTGGCTCGTGCAAGGCTACTTACAATATAGGAAATAGTGTGCCATTTGGGATGCATCCTAGTAGTTCAGAGGTATGAAGTGTGTATGAACATTCAGCGCACTTTTGTCTCAACAGTATAATCACCTTTTCTAATTGTGCTGCTGTGTGGAACACCCTGAGCCAAACCCACAGGACTTCCCTCTGACTCTTATTTAATGTGCCATTACCATCAATGAACGTACTGCTGCAGTGCTGCCTCCTGCACTGTACAGGGACTGCTCCAGGCCTTTGGAGATGGGAACAGCCCATAAACGTGCATAGAGAAAATAAAGTGTGCAGTTTGTGGGTTCATTGAGTGGGGCTGTGGGGGGGGGGGACACAATGTGTGTGTGTGTGTGTGTGTGGCTGTGGGGGGGTTAACAAAAAAACTCAGACAGGTATTTCATAGCCTTAGCAATGATCCTGCATAAAATGTCTAGAAATGGGTGAGACTTCTGGAGCTGGCTACTATCACTGTAGCTGGAAATTACTGAGCCAAATATACTAATGGCTAAAGTTGGCCAAACTTGCCAATTAATTGAGGTAGATGACAGTAAATCTTGGTAAGAACCATCCTTGGAAGCGTCAGGCCAGATAAGCCATCTGCCACATACTGTAGCTCCAGATTGTGATGGTTGGATGTCTGCTCTGGGGTAGGAACTGGATAAAGGGGTTAAAGTGACTTCACTTCACTCCCAAATCAGAAACAGAAGCACTAACCGGAGCCCGGCTGTGTCCATTTTAAAAAGTGTGTCAGTTTAGAGCAGGGTCTGACCTGCTGTTTGGTCTCCACTCATCTCACTGGGGGTCAAAAGTCGTTGATTCCTGTCTCCATGGTGGCTAAATCCAGCATCTGTGGGTCCAATTTACAACAGAAAAGAGGACAGCTACCCTAAGACCACTAGACTTCACACACTTCACACTTAGACACACAATCCAGTTCACACAGACAGGCTCTCTAAAGCTTTCATAATACATACACAGCTCACCTGATCCAGGTGCCAACTTCTCCTTCCCTGCACTGTGGACCCGTAGCTTCCTGGACCCTGCCTTGTCTGATGAAGCTCTGTCTTTAGGTGGTCGCGGCTGCAGGCTCCCTGGCTTCCCTGTACGTTACACAACGAGGTTACATTCAAAACACGCATTATAACAATAGCCTAACAAGCACATAATACAACTTTAGAACCTGAACAGATAACAATTTGTTAATGGCTAGCGGAACAGCTTATGGAGTACTGAATATTATGCCACAGTAAAACCATCACTCATTCTCAATAAAAGGTATTTCAGAAAATGAGCTTTATCCAATCAATCAACAGTGAGCGCAGCAGACTAAATAAAGCCAGCTATGCACAACTAACGCTAGATATTTTAATGATCTTCTTATACACTCCATCACACTCCAAACCTATTGCATTACCAAGTCTAATATATTAGAATATAGGTCAGTGAGTGTATAGAGTCAGTGTGCGACTGAATTACTATCACATAAAGGAGCATGCTAACCAGACATAATTATGTAATATTTTGATTATGCACTCAGATTGAGAAGGGAAACCATAACTATGATGAACGTTGGGGAGTCAATGATTCTGTCATACCATTGTACTAATGAACCAGTGTTTACGGTTAGTTAGCTTGGTTGAAAAGGACAGTTGTTGAAAGTACATTAAATATACACTGATTTAACTTCTCTTACGGGAGCAGTAATTAGTCAAACTGGGCTGAATAAAGCAAGCTAGGCAAAACTAAGGAGGAAGTTGTTTTTCAGATTTTGCCCTCATCTTGCACATAATTATTGGAATATCACAATTTCCAAGTCAAGTCTGTGAATATTGGTCAGTGTGGGAAGCACACTGTGGAATGTATGGTTTCTGTAGTAGTATGACATGCAAATAATATTGAATACCGTTTCATGGCGCATCGGTCTAAGGCACTGCATCTCAGTGCTTGAGGCATCACTACAGACCCCCTGGTTCAATTCCAGACTGTATCACAACCGGCCGTGATTGGGAGTCCCATAGGGCAGCGCACAATTGGCCCAGCGTCGTCCGGGTTTGGCCGGTGTAGGCCGTCATTGTAAATAAGAATTTGTTCTTAACTGACTTGCCTAGTTAAATAACGGTTAAATAAATAAAATAAAAAAATAAAAAAATAAAAAATAAATAGTGTACAAAATCTGCCTGCAAAAGGGACTTAATTATTGTGGGCATTACCATTAAGTTGGCTAGCTTACTAACCTTGTTTGCTGTTAGCTAGCTTGCTGGCAAACACAGTATGATCTGATGCCCATGTCAAAACTACTGTAATGTTTAACACAGCTAGACCTTGCTCGCTGAATGAACACAAAAAGCCATGAGTAAAGTAGGCTCGCGGCTGATGCTGTTTCAATATGGCTGCAGCCACATCTCTCTAAGCTTGAACAACTTCAAATATGATGTTCTAAAAGTATTGTCATAACATCCCGTTCAACAAGGTTCCCTAACATCGACATGTAAAACAATGTTGTAGGTTTATTTGAGCATTTCAGTTTAATGTAAATGTCAATGGCATCTTTACCTGACATTGTGTGGAACAGACGACAGAGTGTTGTTCTTACCTGCCAGCTCATAAACAGAGTCACTCTTCTGGCTACTGGGACCAGGTTGTTTCTCGCTCCAGTCTCCATGATCCTGATGTCTCTCTGGAGCAGCTGTTCTATTTGTTCTTGCACCAGAGACTGACCCCTGAGACAGAGAGAAAGAAGGAGAGAGAGAGGGAGAGAGGGAGGGAGGGGAGAGAGAGACAGAGACAGAGAGAGAGACAGAGAGAGAGAGAACAAGATTTGCAACCTGTTGCCACAAGAAAAGGGCAACAATATGTTTATTTATTTTCCCTTTTGTACTTTAACTATTTGCACATCGTTACAACACTGTACACAGCCATGCCATTTGATATGTCTCCATTCCTTTTAAACTTTTGTGAGTGTGATATTTACTATTTAGAATGTAAATATATGTTTCCCATACCAATAAAGCCCTTTGAATTGAATTGAGAGAGAGAGAGACCAAGACAGAGAGACAAACAGAGAGCTAGAGCGAGAGAGCGAGAGAGAGCGTGTTTTAGAGAGAGACAGAGAGGTATAAAAAAGATAGAGAAAATAAAATCAGAGCACTAAAGACAGAAACAGCAAAGCAACAACAAACAATAGAGGATCACAGAGTGGATCTCTCACCGGGCGTCCTAGATGACACAGCACTGGCTGCCCAATGATGGGAGATATTATAGGCGGATAATAATACAGAAATAGTTCAGAATGCATCAAAGACCCAAATAACTTCTGGTGCCTCAAAACAACATCCTTTGAGTCTTATCATCATGAAACTATTGGGAGAAAAATTGAAACAAAGCAGGAATACCTAAAATACTATTCACAAGGTATCTTTTAGTTGAGTAAAGTTTGCTCTTCAAAAAGTGGATATAATATCTATGTTTGGAGAGTGGGCCAGCGCTACAATAAAATAACAACAGCTCCTCCCAACACTTATTTTCACACTATTGGTAAATGCAAATAGTCACATCGTATGATAAATGTGTTCATGTGGGTATTCAAAAGAGAGAAGGTGTACATACACTCTAGCGCTCCCATGCAATACATTTATATATGAAATCAAACAATGTTTCGACAGCAAGCTACCTTCTCAGGGGAGTATTACCGTATTCATGCTCCGGTGTGTCCGCCCGTCCTGTGTCCTCCCGTCCTGTCCCTCTGATAGTCCACTGTTCTTCCTTCCGGTCAGTGGAGGGGGTCCTAAAACCCTCGACCCAAATGCGATGTGGGAGGCGTCCGGCTGGATCCTTGGGCCTCGAGCAGCACTGGCTACCCTGCCACTGCCTGACTGATCTGAAAGGTACAAAAATAAACGGATCATTTGGATATTCATTTGTTATCAATGTTTATAATGCATAGGATCATCTCTTTCAATGTAATACTGAGAAAATAAATAGTGATCGTGACTGTGATAGTGATCGACAGCGATGTCTGACTGTTTTGTATAATTTTAACTAACCAGCTCAAACACATTACACATAGGCTTAATGTCGCATATCAGCCTATTACTATTAAACTGTTTCTAACTTCTGCCATAGTCTCCACATTGCACTTAATTACTCAAGGCTAACAATAACATAGCAAGAGACAAACGCTGCCTATGTTTTAAAAGGCTGTGATATCCTGACATTGCTAATGGATTCCAGCTGATTTAACATATGGATTTAAGCTTGATATTACAGTGGCATGCTAGCATCACTCTGCACATAATTCATTTACAAACATAAATTACACCCCTTTCACCCAAGTTTGATGAAAAGCGGACATAGCTATGTTATAGAAACTGTGGTATAACTAATCGGAGGAATATTGGGAGTGGGAAATAAGCACCATAGCTTCCTTTATATAAATGCAGAAGCTGAGTCTGATTGGTTTGAAACACCAACACTTACAGGCCTGGGTCGTTCCACAAAATGAGTCCCTTTTGCGTCCTTTTGATATTTTAAGTAGAAATTATGCACCAATATTTGAAGTGCCCTATAATATAGACCACATGGAAAATTCAATAAATCAGATTTTTTATAGTTTTCACCATCATTGTAAACCCCTAGTTATTTTGTTGCTTTGATACAGTCGTTTCTGGGAGGTCGATGCGGGAGGTCGATGCGGAAATTGAGCGGGCGTTACGCACTGACCCTACTCCCCCAGTGTCCAGTGGGTCGGACGTACGTGCCGCTCGAGGTCCGTGATCGGCTCATTTATTGGGCTCATAGGTCACCCTCCTCTGGACATCCAGGTATTGGCCGGACAGTGCACTGCCTTAGTGTTAAATACTGGTGGCCAACATTGGCTAATGACGTGAGGGTTTATGTCTCCTCCTGCTCGGTGTGCGCTCAGTGTAAGGCGCCTAGACACCTGCCCAGGCGGAAGTTACAACCCCTGCCCGTTCCACAACGGCCGTGGTCTCACCTCCCGGTGGACTTTGTCACGGACCTTCCCCCCTCCCAGGGGAATACCACTATTCTGGTCGTTGTGGATCGGTTCTCTAAGGCCTGTCGTCTCATTCCTATGCCGGGTCTCCCTACTGCCCTACAGACCGCTGAGGCTTTGTTCACCCACGTCTTCCGGCACTACGGGGTTCCCGAGGATATAGTGTCTGATCGGGGTCCCCAGTTCACCTCTAGAGTCTGGAGGGCGTTCATGGAACGCTTGGGGGTCTCGGTTAGCCTTACCTCGGGTTACCACCCGGAGAGTAATGGGCAGGTGGAGAGAGTAAACCAGGATGTGGGTAGGTTTCTGAGATCCTATTGCCAGGGCCGGCCGGAGGAGTGGTCGGGGTATATCCCCTGGGCAGAGATGGCTCAGAACTCTCTCCGCCACTCCTATACTAACCTGACCCCTTTTCAGTGTGTGTTAGGTTATCAGCCGGTTCTGGCACCATGGCATCAGAGCCAGATCGAGGCTCCTGCGGTGGATGAGTGGTTTCGGAGCTCGGAGGAGACGTGGAACGCTGCCCATGTCCATCTGCAGCGGGCCATCCGCAGGCAGAAGGCGAGCGCCGACCTCCACCGCAGTGAGTGTCCAGTCTACACCCCTGGAGATCGAGTCTGGCTCTCGACTCGAAACCTGCCCCTTCGCCTGCCCTGCCGGAAGCTTGGCCGGCGGTTTGTGGGGCCATTTAAAGTCCTGAGGAGATTGAATGAGGTGTGTTACAGGTTGCAACTGCCCAATGACTATCATATTAACCCCTCATTCCATGTGTCTCTCCTCAGGCCGGTGGTAGCTGGTCCACTCCAGGAGAGTGAGATAAGGGAGACCCCTCCGCCCCCACTGGACATCGAGGGGGCTCCGGCGTACTCAGTCCGGTCCATCGTGGATTCGAGACGTCGGATGGGTCTACAATATCTCGTGGAGTGGGAGGGGTACGGTCCGGAGGAACGGTGCTGGGTGCCTCGGAGGGACATTTTAGATCCATCCCTCCTGACTGAGTTCCATCGCAGTCATCCTACGCGCCCTGCTCCACGTCCTCCTGGCCGTCCCCGAGGCCAGGGTCGGCGTCAAGGGGGGGGTACTGTCACGAATTCCGCCGAGGCTGCTCCTCCTCCTTGTTCGGGCAGGCTTCGGCGTTCGTCGTCCCCGGAGTACTAGCTGCTACCGTTTGATGTTCTCTGTGTTTGTTTGGTTTTGTCTGTTTGGTGCACCTGTGTCTTATCCTGTCCTGATTATGTCACCTATAAGTTTCCTTTGGTTTTGTTTGTAGTTGTGTGTTGTACGCCTGTCCGTTGAGGTTTTGGATTTTGCATTCTTGTTATTAAGTGTATTGACGCACTGTTTGCGCATCGCTTATGTTTAGTGTTTTACGCACTGTTTTGCGTATCGCTCGCCTCCGTTATTTGAGGCCCTTTATTTTGTATTGTCATTTGCTGACAAGTAAAGTCTGTTTGGACTAAGCTTCTGTGTCCTGCGCCTGACTCCAACACCACATCCACCTCAAAACACTGACAAAACCTTTGACTGGTACTGTATATATTTAACCTCTTGAGATTGTTATTTTTTTAAGTTGAACATGTGCTCGTTATGACAGAATATTAAAATTAGGCGAAATAAAAAAGTTTTTCTTCACCATACTGCCCAAAAGGGAACAACCCGCCTACACTTTTCCATAGCAAAGTGCCTAATGATAATTGGATTAACCTAAAGACGAGGTTACACCATTGGTGAAAAGACAACAACCCAGCATATAATTGGTTCAACTGCTCTCAACAACAACAAAAAATCTCTATAAATGTTTCATCTTTTCATTTGCTGTTTGGCTGACAAATGTACTAAACTCAAGCAACAGTAATTAGCAACAGTCTTTTTTACACAATTAGATTGGATGTCTACTTTAATAGCAATCCCTTTTAATCATTATTAGGCATGTTATGCTAATAACTCGACCAACCAATTATGATAACTAATTTACAAGAAAACGAATGGTGTGTGCGTGCGCGGGTGTGTGTGCGCATTGCGTGTGTATGAATGTGTGTCTCTCTCTTGGTGTGTGTGTGTGTGTGTATGCATGCATGCGTCCAAGTGTGTGTGTGTGCGTGTGATTACTGTTCATTTCTAATGGCACGGCCAAGTGACTCAACATGCTGGAGACAGATGTCAGAACAAATAAATATGTGCTGATAAAAAGGCCACACAGAGGTACTGTCTGTCTGTCTGTAGGGGAACAGAGTGGGGCTGCTGAATCACTGGCGCATGTCTTTCTTCCTCATAAACACATATAATTGCTGTTCTTTCTCTCTGGGTGTACAGGTGCGGGGTGGTGTGCGACACTCATTCCAAAGGCCACCTGGGTTTTAGAGTGCAACAATCACACTGTGCCGCCTGCAGCAGAGTGGAAGCTTTTAGATGAGAATAAAGTAAAGTCCTCTAAAGTACTACTTACTGCCTGTTCTGGTTTTTCATTGCTTTCAACCAGTAAAAAAACAACAACAAAAAAAACAACAACAATGGAACTTTGACCGCCTTTCAAAGTTATGGATGAATGGTTTTGTAAAGCCACATAATCTACATGGATGTTGCTGTACTCTGATGATGCTGTCTTCCTGGGTATGCCTTTAAGGCCCTGTCTTTATGTCTTTAATCCCTCAGAAACTCTATTAGACTTTACATACGATCTGTGATAGCAGCTCATGAATCAACAGGAGATTATTGAACTGACAGATTAGTATGTAAGCCATGAGAGACAAGCACATGATTACATGCAACAAAAGTGTCTGGAAAAGCACAATCTATATTAGACTGTTTATTGTGTTTAAACGTGTTATGGACATATTGAAAAACAAAACACATTTTCAATTTCAAAGATAAAGATTAGTAATATGCTGCTTTCAATAAATAGAAAACTGTTTGCAACTATGGGACTATCTTTACTTTGGTTAGTGGTGGGGGTCTGAGGCTGAGTTTAGCCAGTCATGAAGCATATCCAATCAGAGAAACAAAAACAGTAGGAGCCAGAAAGGGCAAACCAATTTCAGAGAATTACTGGTGTCTGTTTGAAACAAATGGAAAAGTCTGGTTTATATGGAAATGAATTGAACTGAATTATTATTTGCTTCTTGGTCAAAGATGGACATCGCCTTGAACTGTTTGATGAAAATAAATACTGGACTTGATTTGATTGTTTTGTATTACTGGGTTGTTGTTACTATTATTGGACAATCACTTGGTCAGCTATTGACGTTTAAGAACTCAGATGAACAAGAACTCAAGCTCCATCCCAACCATAACGTGCTTGTTCCAACTAAAGAGGAGCATTAGAAATAAACACAGAGTGCAATGTTGTTACATTTGTTCTCTCAAACGAAGAAGAAAGTCACACACATACATGATTTTGAGTGTGCAACTTCCCTTTTTACTTGTATTCAACACTTCACAGAAGGGATGTAGGTTCTTTATCTATTTACTTCATAGATTTGTTGTCTCACCTACCAGACTCATAGTTGATAGGGCCAGTCTTCAGGTCTGCCAGTCTCAGCCTCTCCATGTTCATCACCTGGATCACCTGGTGGATGTCAGGGGGAAACTGGCAGCTCCGAGGGATCGAGTCCATGGGACCATTTCCACCAATATATAGGTCTCCAGAGGGAAAACAAACAAAAAACACTTTGCATAAAACAAGAGAATGAAATAAACCAAAAGTGATCTAGCTGAAAACATAATCATGGAGCTATTGGCTTTCTCGAGGAAGAGAAAATAAGCTTTTGAATTATAATTCATAAAAATACAAATAAATCCAGGCCTATCCCTTTTTCCAGATGAATTAGCAGGCGGTGTACATACACACACACACCAGTAATCTGCAGCTACAGGCGTTGCTGTGCCATATCAGTTGTCAACAAACATCACTGTCATGGTGCTCTGTGAGGGATGGAGGTGTGAGGTTGGACTCACCCTGGGGTTTGCCATTGATTCACCATGTAGGAAGAGGCTATTCACATGATACACATCAGCTTACCATGACTGTTTAAGCAACCTACCGTGGTAGGCCAATCATCAATTTTCAAAAAGGCCTAATATTCATCAGAATAAAAATTTACAGTTTAATATCCATGGAATGGACAATGGAAGAAGACATGTCTTGCCATGATGGAGCGTTTAGAGTGTTTTGGTGTGACTGACTGATGGACTGACTGAATGTCTTACCTCCATCAGAAGCCCCTGCAGGCTCAGTCTTCATGGTGAAGATTCTCCGTAACTTACAGCTGGCAGAGACAGTGATTCCATCCAAGGATAAGAACCCTGCACCTTTAAACAGCTCACCGGTGAATGACACAAGGTCGATGCACATGTTGCACCACTAGAGATGAGAAAAGAGGAAGAGAAGAAAATTGTTTTGTTCAGAGGGTCTAACGCAATTTAAACGGTTGACAGCTGTCCTCCTTGTCCCTGTTTTTTTTTGTTAAAAAGTTTGTTGAAGCAATATCCCAGCTAACAACAAACGTTCCCACAACTTTAGAGAACATTCCTTTATAGGTCCAATGCAGACGTTTTTAATCTCAATATCAAATCATTTGTGGGTAACAATTAAGTACCTTACTGTGATTGTTTTCAATTAAAATGGTGGGGACGTTTCTTTGGAACCATCAGGCGACATCCTGAAAAACCCGGGAACTAAACAAAAACCTCCAGGGGACCATAACAGAATGTCCTATGTTTTAAATGTCTTTGAACACAGGAATGCTCTTGCAATGTTCCAATTAAACGTGTGTAGAACATTAAGATCTTATATTTGGAGAACATGGCAACACGTTCTGTGTATGTTTGGTGTGACGTTGATGGAATATTCTCCTAACCCTCAGAAAACTGAAAACATGAATGTTCTTGCATCCTCCCAAGAAATGTGTCTAAAACATAAATATCTTACATTCTAAGAACATGGAAACCATGTTCTGTGTATGTTTGGTGTGACGTTGATGGAATATTCTCAGAACCATCAGAAAACTGGACACGCAAATGTTCTTGCAACGTCCCATGAAACGTGTCTAGAACATGAATATCTTATATTCTGAGAACATGGCAACCATGTTCTGTGTATGTTTGGTGTGACGTTGATGGAGTATTTTCCTAACCCTCAGAAAACTGGACACCTAAATGTTCTTGCAACATCCCATGAAACGTGTCTAGAACATTAATATTGAATATTCTGAGAACATGGTAACCACGTTCTGGGTAAGTTATGTTTGACATTAAGGAAATGTTGTCCTAACTAACACCCAAACATGCTAAATAGGTTCTCAGACGTTTTTCTGCTAACATAGATAGAATGTTCCTATAACTAACGGAAAACTGAACACTCAAACATCAGAAGAACATTATGGATAACATTACAAAACATTTCTCTCTCCCTACAATTGTTAGCTGGGATAGTATATTTTGAACTGGTAGAAATTGGCAGCACTTTCTTAAGTCACAAGCAGCCTAGATATATTATACTTATGGTAGCGGTGGAGGCGAGGGCAATACTCACAACGTTGCGTTTCAGACCAAAAGGTATCCTTGCATGCAAGGGTGTAGCAGAAAACTCCTTATGAACCGTGGATAGGTACAGCCTCCTTTTCAGATGACCTAAATCAGTTATCCTGTAAAATAAGTGAAGGAATTAATGAGGAAATAGTGAACAGCAATTATATATTACAACAAAACTTTCAAGCCTTAGAATAAAAGGTGTTATCTAGAACCTAAAAGGGTTCTTCGGCTGTCCCCATAGGATAATCCTTTGAAGAACCCTTTTTGGTTCCAGGTAGAACCCTTTTGGGTTCCATATAGAACCCTTTCCACTGAGCATGCTACATTGAACCCAAAAGGTTTCTACCTGAAACAAAATAGGGTTTTACCTGGAACCAAAAATGGTTATCCTATGGGAACAGCTGAATAACTCTTTTGGAACTCTTTTTTCTAAGAGTGTAGCCTAGCGATTGAGAGAGTTGGGCCAGTAACCGAAAGGTCGCTGGTTGGAATCCCCAAGCCGACTAGGTGAAACATCTGCCAATATGCCCTTGAGCAAGGCACTTACATTGCATTCGGAAAGTATTCATATCCCTTGAAATATCACTTTTACATACGTCTTCAGACCCGTTACTCAGTACTTTGTTGAAGCACCTTGGGCAGCGACTACAGCCTTGAGTCTTCTTGGGTATGATGCTACAAGCTTGGCACACCTGTATTTGGGGAGTTTCTCCCATTCTTCTCTGCAGATCCTCTCAAGCTTTGTCAGGTTGGATGGGGAGCGTCGCTGCACAGCTATTTTCAGGTCTCTCCAGAGATGTTCGATTGGGTTCGGGCTCTGGCTGGGCAACTCAAGGACATTCAGAGACTTGTCCCAAAGCCACTCCTGCATTGTCTTGGCTGTGTGGGTCGTTAGGGTCGTTGTCCTGTTGGAAGGTGAACCTTTGCCCAAGTCTGAGGTCTTGAGCGCTCTGGAGCAGGTTTTCCCTCAAGGATCTCTATGTACTTTGCTCCATTAATCTTTCCCTCGATCCTGACTAGTCTCCCAGTCCCTGCCGCTGAAAAACATCCCCACAGCATGATGCTGCCACCACCATGCTTAACAGCAGGGATGGTGCCAGGTTTCTTCCAGACGTGACGCTTGGCATTCAGGCCAAAGAGTTCAATCTTGGTTTCATCAAACCAGAGAATCTTGTTTCTCATGGTCTGAGAGTCCTTTAGGTGCCTTTTGGCAAACTCCAAGCGGGCTGTCATGTGCCTTTTACTGAGGAGTGGCTTCAGTCTGGCCACACTACCATAAAGGCCTGATTGGTGGAGTGCTGCAGAGAGGTTTGTCCTTCTGGAAGATTCTCCCATCTCCACAGAAGAACTCTGGAGCTCTGTCGGAGTGACCATCGGGTTCTTGGTCACCTCCCTGACCAAGGCCCTTCTCCCCCGATTGCTCAGTTTGGCCGGGCGGCCAGCTCTAGGAAGATTCTTGGTGGTTCCAAACTTCTTCCATTTAAGAAGGATAGAGGCCACTGTGTTCTTGGGGACCTTTACGTGCTGCAGAAATGTTTTGGTACCCTTCCCCAGATCTGTGCCTCGACACAATCCTGTCTCGGAGCTCTACGGACAATTCCTTCGACCTCATGGCTTGGTTTCTGCTCTGACATGCACTGTCAACTATGGACCTTATATAGACAGGTGTGTGCCTTTCCAAATCATGTCCAATCAATTGAATTTAAAACAGGATGCACCTGAGTTCAATTTCGAGTCTCATAGCAAAGGGTCTGAATACTTATGTAAATAAGGTATATGTTTTTTATATTTAATACATTTGCAAAAAAAAATGTTTTCGCTTTGTCATTATGGGGGTATTGTGTGTAGATTGATGAGACATTTTTTTATTTAATCAATTTTAGAATAAGGCTGTAACGTAACAAAATGTGGAAAAGGGGAAGGGGTCTGAATACTTTCCGAATGCACTGTAACCCTAATTGCTCCTTTAAGTCGCTCTGAATAAGAGTGTCTGCTAAATGACTCAAATATCAAATGAAATGTTATGGTTTTAATAAGAAAAATAAGCTTGATCTTTTAAAGGAACAATCCGCAGTTGCTACATCAATTTTTGGACTTATAAATTGATGATGTATACTCATTGATTCTTGAAGAATAGAACTTATAAATGCCTCATGAGCTTAGTTCAACTATCGTACCCCATCAGAACCCAAAATATAAGCTTGTTTTACTCCAATATTTGTAAACATTGCAAATGTACACAAAACTGTATAGTCTCAACATATGCTTAAAATATAATGTTTATATATTGGATGGTCAGTCCTTGCATCAATAGCTCATTAATAAATAAAATTTCTCCAGGCCCGTCCCTCAGCTGTTTACCAAAACCTCACTGTTAAACCGGATTCCCTCTTTAACAGTGAGGGAGAGCTGACCTATTTTTCCACTAACACAGCTTTCAGTAGCATAATCTATTGTCTTGTGTCAGTCAGCATGTTGAGATGCATCCCCTACATTGTTAAGAGGTGGAGGGTAGAAGAGAAGAGGGAATTAATCCATTTACATGCTAATTCACTTTCACCACCTCCACTGAATTATAGCACCTATCTACCGATCCCCCACCCCTAAAAAATAATTCAATTTGTGTGAGGAATGAAGATGTGTTGAAGGGTGAAAATGTAATGTTACAGCTAGCTTGAAGCCCCCTGAGGGTATGTTATTAAGGCATCAAACAAAGTGACATTATAATAAAATATTGTATATTGGCCTGTCTTTTATGGCATTCATTGTATGTTGCATGCATTCTCTGCAAAGACATACACAGACACACACAGGCTTTTATAAAAAATCATATAGGTAATAAATAAATAAATAAAAGCCAGGGGGAGATCACACACACATACACACCATTTCTGGTAAGTTGACTTGGCTGGAGAGAGAGGAGAATTGAAGCCAGGGTGGTGGTCAAAGTAACAAATGTGATACCGAATTCTTCTGGATACATGCGAGAGCAAGTTATATCTTAGACGCAAGGGCATAGTACAAAATAAATAGCATGGCAATTCTGTCTACAGTTTGATGATCATAGTAGCATAATAGCACTGGGGGCTAAAAGCCAAATGGCTCAAAGGCAGAGCACAAATAATTTTTCTCAGTCTCAATTCATTCTGAATTACAGTGGGGAAAAAAAGTATTTAGTCAGCCACCAATTGTGCAAGTTCTCCCACTTAAAAAGATGAGAGAGGCCTGTAATTTTCATCATAGGTACACGTCAACTATGACAGACAAAATGAGAAAAAAAATTCCAGAAAATCACATTGTAGGATTTTTAATGAATTTATTTGCAAATGATGGTGGAAAATAAGTATTTGGTCAATAACAAAAGTTTCTCAATACTTTGTTATATACCCTTTGTTGGCAATGACACAGGTCAAACGTTTTCTGTAAGTCTTCACAAGGTTTCCACACACTGTTGCTGGTATTTTGGCCCATTCTTCCATGCAGATCTCCTCTAGAGCAGTGATGTTTTGGGGCTGGGCAACACGGACTTTCAACTCCCTCCAAAGATTTTCTATGGGGTTGAGATCTGGAGACTGGCTAGGCCACTCCAGGACCTTGAAATGCTTCTTACGAAGCCACTCCGTTGCCCGGGCGGTGTGTTTGGGATCATTGTCATGCTGAAAGACCCAGCCACGTTTCATCTTCAATGCCCTTGCTGATGGAAGGAGGTTTTCACTCAAAATCCCATGATACATGGCCCCATTCATTCTTTCCTTTACACGGATCAGTCGTCCTGGTCCCTTTGCAGAAAAACAGCCCCAAAGCATGATGTTTCCACGCCCATGCTTCACAGTAGGTATGGTGTTCTTTGGATGCAACTCAGCATTCTTTGTCCTCCAAACACGACGAGTTGAGTTTTTACCAAAAAGTTATATTTTGGTTTCATCTGACCATATGACATTCTCCCAATCCTCTTCTGGATCATCCAAATGCACTCTAGCAAACTTCAGACGGGCCTGGACATGTACTGGCTTAAGCAGGGGGACACGTCTGGCACTGCAGGATTTGAATCCCTGGCGGCGTAGTGTGTTACTGATGGTAGGCTTTGTTACTTTGGTCCCAGCTCTCTGCAGGTCATTCACTAGGTCCCCCCGTGTGGTTCTGGGATTTTTGCTCACCGTTCTTGTGATCATTTTGACCCCACGGGGTGAGATCTTGCGTGGAGCCCCAGATCGAGGGAGATTATCAGTGGTCTTGTATGTCTTCCATTTCCTAATAATTGCTCCCACAGTTGATTTCTTCAAACCAAGCTGCTTACCTATTGCAGATTCAGTCTTCCCAGCCTGGTGCAGGTCTACAATTTTGTTTCTGGTGTCCTTTGACAGCTCTTTGGTCTTGGCCATAGTGGAGTTTGGAGTGTGACTGTTTGAGGTTGTGGACAGGTGTCTTTTATACTGATAACAAGTTCAAACAGGTGTCATTAATACAGGTAACGAGTAGAGGACAGAGGAGCCTCTTAAAGAAGAAGTTACAGGTCTGTGAGAGCCAGAAATCTTGCTTGTTTGTAGGTGACCAAATACTTATTTTCCACCATAATTTGCAAATAAATTCATTAAAAATCCTACCATGTGATTTTCTAGATTTTTTTCCCTCAATTTGTCTTTCATAGTTGACGTGTACCTTTGATGAAAATTACAGGCCTCTCTCATCTTTTTAAGTGGGAGAACTTGCACAATTGGTGGCTGACTAAATACTTTTTTTCCCCCACTGTACGTATACATGCATCATTGATACGAAACTGATACAACTTTCAGTTGAACAATGAGAACAGTGAAACATTTGCTACTTTGGGTACAGAGAGTGTTCAGCAGCTTGAGCCAACTCAAGGTCGGATTTGTCACGAGTTTAGGACTGTGTGATCTGAGGCACAGAGGCTGATGAAAAACTGTTGCATTTTTAAACAATTTTAAGTTATGTGTGTGCAATTAAGCATTTTACTCATGATTAGAGTTGCAAAGAGAGGGTATATTACTGGAAACTTTTGATTTACTACTATAATTTTTTGCGGAATTTTATAAGATGACATTTAGTGGCCTTTTTTTGGTACTTCAGATTATCACAGGTGTCTGTACT